AAATTTTAAAAAAAATAAAAATAGGCAGATTTTTAAAATATATATAAATTACGAAAATTTATTATATCAAAAATTTTTGAAATTTTATTATGTGATAAAATTCCGTAAATTTATATTAACATTAAAATTCTGTAATATTTTTGAAAATTTTTGTAGGTCTTATAAATTTACGGAATTTTAATGTTCATAAAATTTTTGGAATATTTTGCCTATTAAAATTTTCTGATGTATTTACGTAAGGGTGAGTTCATTGTATTTGATCTAGATAAACCTGAAGACGATCCACTTGTAATTCGGTTAAGGTTCGATACTCCATTAGATTTGCAAAAGGAAATAGAATTGCGTCAAAAGAAAAAATAGCAATGGGTGTGATATCTATAACACTAATACAGTAATAGGACATAGTAGCGATAAATATTTATTTTTTCGTTCATCGATTAATAAGCGCAACTGATCATTTGTCCACATATTCAACTAATTAAAATAATTATTTTTTAGAATCGGGAGATTCCACACTTCGTGCGTCTGTGGATAATGGTTAATTCGTAAGAGAAAGATTTATTGATTTATTTATACAATTCCACTATTTATACCAACTATGATTTCGCACTTATAAAAATTACATGTCATTTTCTACTTAAAGACGTAGATAGTAATTAAAATAATCATTAACAATATGATTTTTACTAGACTAGATTCCATTCGCTTTTGTCCATCCATCATTTGTCTTTGATTATCTGTTATTTGCTTTTGATTATCTTTAATCTTACTTGTAACAAGTTTAAATTTTTCATCTATCAAATTTAATCTTTCTTCTATTAAGTTTAACTTTTCTTCTATTGAGTTTAACCTTACTTCAATAATATTATTTTTTGGTAAAAATGGGAGGAGGTCTTGACGTATATCATATATATTTGTAAACAAAATATTAAGTTCTGATGATTCCTTTCTATCCATTGCTTGAGGTGAATAACCATCTCTTAAAGAAGTTACAAAAACTCCCAAAGTATTTTCAGGGTATCTTGATAAAATACTTTCAAAAGTACGAATTTCACCAACTTCGACTTTTTTTCTTGAATAATTTTTACACTGAATAATTATCAAACATCTTTTTTGATTTCCCATTATATCTATACCACTGTCACCTTGAGAAGTCCTACATGATAAAATAGAAACATTTGAGTAAATGTTATCTTTGTCATCAAGATAAATACACAGGAACCAAGTACGGGTATTTATAATCCATAAATCCTATTCATCACAAATCATGGAATCTCGTCATAATCTTTCAGATACAAAGCAGACAGAGAAGGACGTTCACCAGTCAGGTTACTTGGCTCTCATAATCTGGCTCAGTGGCCACGATGCGCTTCCAGTTCCCTGTCTGTTATGCATCCTAGTGACAGCGTAATTTGAATTTATAATAACTAAACAATCACTCAGTGAGATAGCTCACCTTACTCGCTTACAATTAATCATACTTTTAACTGTCCGAAAAACTTTTTTTTCGAATTCGTCTCCTTTTGCATAAGAAGTGTTGTTCATTTTGTTTGTTGAAATAAAGGATAAAGGATTACTTTCAAGTTTATCATGTTTTTATTTATCTCGTCCAGCTTAACAACACATTATTTATTGCCTTTAACGGAAATTTTTTTTTCATGTTTATATTTACCTTGTCCAGCTTAATAACACATTGTTATTACCTTTAACAGAAAATTTTTTTTTCAAAATAAATCAAATTTGTGTTACAACCGGTTAATCATAAATATAGATATCTGGAAGATAGGAACTGATAAAGAATATAACTTTATTGACAATTCCTCATATGTATCACACGATTTTTGTTTGTTACTTAATTGAGGTCTTATTTCAGAATAAATGGATTTCGATTCTCAACATGTATCACAGGTGGTATACGTGTAATGCATTACATAAAAAATCCTGATAATCATGATCGATTATTTTTTTTTACTTTGAATGTATATTATTACAAATATAGTTCACAAAAAATACCATGATCTGCGTGACAAATTGTCATGGAAATTCTAATTAAAAATTAAATAAACCTGCTTTATATAAAAAGTTACTAAAATGCAATCCGAGTTTGATTTATTGAAACAACGAGTCATTGATCTTGAGGCCGAGAATGTAAAGCTAAAACAGATTATAGAAGAAAATGCTAAACGGGAAGCCGAGAACGTTAACCTTAAGGTGGAACTAGAAAAAAATAAAAAAGATATCACCAATCTCTCAGCTGAGAATTTTGAGCTTAAAATCAAAGTAGCAAAATTGAGCTGTGATTTCGAGGAAATAAAATCAAAGGGAGTAATCATTGATTCTCCAGAGCAATTGCCAATTTCAGAGAAAAAGATGATAAGTGTTTCTACTGAAATGGAGAATTTTAACAATACTCCCGAACAGATAGACTTATAAACTAAGGATGTTTCAGCATCAGATATATCCGATAACACTTCAAATTCTGGCATTAGCCTATCTCTGATTGATAATACTTCTGAACAGATAGTCTCACGTAATGAGGAGTCTAACATATCTATCCACTCTGTGTCTGCCTCCACAACTCTGATATATACCAGGATTCGGTAACCCCCACATCTCCTATTCCCGCAAAAACCATATCATTGGAAGAGAAGGAAGAAAATGAATTTCTGAATTTGCGGTATAAGAAACAGATTAGTAAAGAGATAATGGAGAGAATTAGGGAGAAGAAACTTCGAGATCATGAGGCACTCTCAACTCATCAAAATACCCGTTATTACTAGTCAACCTTTTGGGCTAATTTTATTTTCCAAAAGGCAATTTACAACTAGCAACTCATAAACAGTTACTTTAGTTTACAAATTGAAGAGGATAATAGATGAAGAATAAAAGAAATATTAAAGATAAATACTAAAAACTAATTAAAAGACTTAAGAATTTAGGGTCTCAGGATTTAAACTATTAACTAATGATTTAATTTTTAAAGGTCGAGTTAAGAATTTTAGACAAAGAATTAAATATATTTATTAATGGTTTATAAAATAATAATAGAAAT